AATATTGTGGGAGTAGTTTTATTCTCTGGGTAAAGGAGGTATAAGTATGTGGGGCACCAGGTTGTAGATTATGATGTGGAGGCATCTGTTGGGGTCTTACAGTGGGTGGCCCTATAGGTTTGACATGAATGATTGACTTGTTAAAAATATTTTTTTCACTGAAACTAATGGCTAGTTACTACCAAATTGTTGAGAAGCTCATGGTTACATAATTTACCTAAAGAAGGGGCTAGTGTGTCTGATGGTATTTTTATGTTCACATGTGTGTCAGAGTGAGTAGACACCTGTCAATCTATGATATCTGTCTGCTGCTGCTTCTACTGGTAGGTGCAATTGCATCCCGTTGTAAAATTATTCTTGTTATAATTATACTAATAGAAGCAGTCACTATCTGCCTGTCTCTGTTCTAAATATTTCATGGGATTTACTTAATTTATTCCTCACAAAAACTCAGTAATAGTACTATTATTTCCCTTTTATAAAAGAGGAAACTAAGGAACAGAGAGAAACAACAGGCTAACAGTGTCCTGAGCTTTAAGTCCCTGGAGCTGAGGCGGAACCTGCCATCAGGCTTTCAGGCCCCACTCCCAACATTTACAATGCAGCTGCTCCCAATAGAACTGATTTTAGATATTTTTCCTTTTTAAATTGTGTTAATTTAAATAAAGCTATTAATTATCTGCCCAGCTAATTTAGAAATGCTCTGGGTTCCAAACAATCAGATCAATACTGAATTCCAGTATTATATTTATGAAAACAGCAGAGGAGCCAGTGTGCTTACCTGATAATTACAAATGCTCCTCCCCTAGTATCCAATCCTGAGAGTCTCTGCTTCCTGTGGAATGTCAACTTTACACCTTCACCAAGGAGTCAGCAAAGAAGCTCACATATTTGAACTGTGTGTTGATGCAACAGAAAATAAGGATGTCTTAGCAATGATATTTCACACAAAAAAGCCCTGCCTAAAAATCTCCCCCACAGATATGCACACACACATCAAACCTTGTTTATTTCCTGTGATGTTTGTCACCTTCAGGGACACTGTCAAGTTTCCTTGTGCATGCCAAGTTTACTCCCTCGTTCCAAGCATATATGGGATGTATCAAAATGATATATGGGTCAACTAACATTTTGTTGCACAATAAATTCATGTTGATCTAGAAACAACTGCCACTGCCAGATTCCCCTGAATGACCCCATTTGACATACATTTACACTGAGTATTAGATAACCTTGAATTCATTGATGGGTCCTCTTGAACACTGACTGTTCTTTATATCCATCAAGAACTTTAAAAATCATATGAAAAAAACCTGACTGATTATGAAGTTAAAGGATATTCTAAATGTTGGAGTCATATAAAAAATCCCAAGACCAATATATCTCAGATACTATGTGTCATATGTAGTGTCAAGATGTTCTTTAGTCATATTGTTGGGATTTTATATATTTCAATAAATAAGACTTACTGATATATCTGTGGCACAACATGTGGTATAAATATTGTTGAAATTAATGTGGAATGTCCTCAACTTGATCAACCATCAGTAAGGGTTTTTTGCATTGTTACTAGTTGGTGTTAGTTAGGCCTTGTCTTATCTTTATTTCTTACAGTAAGTCATCTAACTTATGACTTAGTCTTACATAAATGTGTTTGCTCATTGTCCAAACAATAAGCTTTTGTTCAAGTCACCGAGCTAGAAAGATTTACAAATTCCTTGATAAGCATTGGGGATACTGGCAAAGATCAGTAAGTGTAAAGAAGTCATGCGGACTTAGGTCATTAGCTTCATTTCCTTCCTGGAGACATTGCTGAGTGCTGGCCCCACACCAGGCTCTCTGAGCTGACTCACAGGCCAATGGAAATGGACACAGGCACACAAGTCAAAACACACAGTACAACACCTGCCGTGTCAGGATGACCAATTCTGCCTGTGTGAGTTGCATAATGAAGGATGATTAGGATTCTCAGTGTGAACAAGGAAGAAAGATATTCCAGACACAGGCCACTGCATGCAAAGCAAACAGTAGCCTGGTCTTCGGAACCCTGAGTGGATCTGGGGAAGCAGAAGACAGGGGATACCTTGCTAAACGAGCATGAATCAGAGCATTTCATGCTCAGAACGTGAAAAGGGTCATCTGTGCTTTGGGAAGATTTACCTTTAGGAGAAAGAAGAAAAGCATTGGTGAGAGGGAGAGATACACAGAAGTTATTGAAGGCAAGAGAGATCGCATTGCGATGAATCAGATGCCAGGGCAAGCAGGCGCGGGGGGCAGGGGGATGCTCAGATTTTCAGCTGAAATAAGGCATCTGACCAATTGGTGCTAGTTTGGGGCAGGAAAAACACCATTTTGTTTTTATTACAAGTAAAGTTAGGAATGATGACAGGATATCCAGATGAGATGTGTGTTAGCCTTTATACTGTGATTCTTTTTTATCATGCATATCTGACCTACAAAATGGGAATTCAGCAAGGACCTCTTGCCTTGCTTATCTTTTTATCCACACATGATTTTAATATCTCTCAGCATGTTATAAATGCTCATAAATACTGAAGGATGAATAGATTAGGATGAGTAAATAAGGCAACAAATACTAATAACATAAATACTTAAAAATAAAAAAGAAATAGTCAAGAAAAAATAAAACAAATAATTGTAATGTAAGAAAAATTATATGCAAAAGTCCCCCAAAATACATAAGGAATTCAACAGAGATATCTTTTAGCACAGAGACCCAACACTCATCCCTGAAAACCTGTCCTATCCTGAGAAAACACACTAGATCCAGCATATACATGGCCTAAAATGGAATTGAATAGTAATAAAAATTGAAAATCTTTTTACTAATTTCACTTTTTAACTTGTGGATTATTAACCTAATTTTACAGAATATAGTCTCATTAAACATACATTTGATTCTGATTATAACTAATTCTGTTTTGTTAAATTTTATTCCACTATCCATTTCAAGATTATTTCTGCATTTAGAGTGTTTTCTTAAATATTTTTCCTAGCTAAATATAAGTATAACCACATTCCACATTAAGTACATTTGGTTATATTTAATAACTTTATATTATTTATTATTCCAGTACTTTCAGTGAGATAAGTAAGGATATATACCTGTCTTGGGCATATTATAATTTTTATTGATGTAGTTAAAGAAAAACCCATATGTAAAAGTCACTTAAGCCATCATCAGCCTACCATTAATGCTCAGTTTTTGCTATCTAGATCTAGATCATACAATGTATAATGATGAAAGGTAATGTTTTTTTAGTTCCACTTAGTCATTGATATCTTTTTATGACAGGGGTCTTCAAGGCACTGAGAGTCTGTACATCTTCTGCCCTGGGTTTTTTACAGTCTTGTGAAATCTCTGTCAAATTTTGTGGTTTCAGAATGGTCCCCAGGATATTGGTTTAAAATCAGAGGGTCCTATCCTCAGCTCTGAGTTCAGTTCCATAGTATGATAGCCTGCTAAGAGTTTGCATTTTCAAGACGTCTCATTTGATCTGGAGATTTTAATAAACACAAAGAGTGATTTTCTGAAGTAACACAACATGCGTTATGATCTATTATGATCTAGGTAGAACTGTTAAGTCTGATCACTGCAATGTCTACATTGGTACTGGGGCAGAATAAAAAAGAAAAACTTTATTTTGAAACTTTATTTTCATTGTTGACAATGTTATAGATGTCCTCATTAACCCTGCCCCTTTGCCCGTCTCACCTCAGCTCCCACCCTACCTTCCCTCTGGCTATCACCACACTGTTGTCTGTGTCTATGGGTTATGCATATATGTTCTTTGGCTAATTCTTTCACTTTCTTTCATCCAGTCTAAAACAGAGAGACTTGTACTCTATACTGAAAAAGTATCATCTTTCTTAAAAAGTAAAAGTCATGATTTCGTTGTTGCATGAAATTTTTCTTTGTTTATAAAAGGTGATCAGCTGATTTAACCATGTAATGTAAACCATTCTATTCATTTTCACAAAACAGACATCCTTAGATAGTTTTCTCCATAGTCAACTTAAAGAGTATAAAAATTGTTAAGTATTTGGTGAAATACTGTTTTATCTCCACATTTTGAAGCATGTTGAACTATAGAGATTATGCATTAGCTTTGTAATTGTTAAGTTAAATGGGGTCATGAACAGTAAAGCCATTTTATGGGTCACTAAAGAAAAAATACTTAAAAGCATGAAAACCTTTCTGTTTGGACAAACGGCAACAATATGTAAAAAAATACAGCAATGGTCAAATAAGTTTCTAGGACAGCAGACCACTGTATCTGTATAAGTATTAAAGTTTATAAATCAAAAGCAGCATTTTATTTTCTTAGTATAAATATAGTAAACCTTATTTGTGTGATGCTAAGTGTCATTCAAAAAATATTTTTAAGCCCTGGCTGGCGTAGCTCAGTGGATTGAGCGCAGGCTGCAAACCAAAGTATCACAGGTTCAACTCCCAGTCAGGGCACATGCCTGGGTTGCAGGCCGTGACCCCCAGCAACCGCACATTGATGTCTCTCTCTCTCTCTCTCTCTCTCTCTCTATCTCCCTCCCTTCCCTCTCTAAAAATAAATAAATAAAATCTTTAAAAAATATATATATATATATTTTTTTAAGCATTGAATTTGGTTGTTATATGGCTGTCACTTGGAAATTATGATAATGAAGGTAAAAAAGAAAAAGGTGGAGAAAGGCAAATTTTAAACAAACACATTACCTCTCTGTAAGCTAAAGAGAGTAACATACACCCTCTTAACTCCTGAGATTTAAGGTCATGTAATAGATTTTTTAAATCGTTGAATGTTAAAGCTGGAAAAGACCTCACTGATCATTTATTTTATGTTTATTTTAAAAGTCTCATTTTATGAGACTCAGTCTACAGTTAGCTCAAAAGAAACTAGAGAGAGAAAAATATCTAAAAGTTCTGAGTTGGTTTCCTTTTGAAGTGGATAATCGGTAATGGAAGACATTGCCTTTTGTAGCTGGATGAAGAGACCTCGGTGTGGTGTGCCTGACCCGACAAGAGGCAGCTCCAAATTCAACATCCGTCGGAAGCGATATGCATTAACAGGCCAGAAGTGGCAGCACAAACACATCACCTACAGGTACGAGCACCAATGGTGAAGTCCTGTTCTCCATTTGTCACAGCTACTTATTCTGACATTCTTTTTGACATCTTATGCACATTGACTACATGATAACATATAGTAATACAATGTGCACATAAGGAACTTAATACTGTGAGTGAGAATATATTATCCATAGGCAGTTGTGTAGTCATTCCTAGACACACTCGGTCTCTTTTGTAAACTAGATGTTTCAGCTTCCCCAAATGAATATCTATATTCTGAGGGATTGTCAGATGAGTATCTGAACACATGGCATTCTTTAACAAGAATTCATAATCTAAAAAATACCAAAATAGTAAAATATCTAAGTAATACCCATTTAAAAATATGTCTTTGAATCCTTTAATTAACTTCCAGTATCAGTGTAATTGTTAATCTATGGTAAGATTATGGTTAGTGTTTAGGAACTGTCTTCAGAGCAGCTGCACCATTTGCATTTTCACCAGAAGTGATGAGAGTTCACTCCACAACCTTGACAGCACTTGGTGTTGTCAATGGTCTAATTGTAACCATTCTAATAGACATGTAGTGGTATCACTGTTGTTTCAATTTGCATTTCCTTGGTGACATACTATCTTCATATGTTTGTTTGCCATCTGTACATCTTCTTTGGTGAGATGTTTGTCAGATCTTTTGACCAAAAGGTGAAGTATTCTATAGGTTGAGTTGAGTTGATTAATAGTGATATTGAGTTCAACTATATCCTTATCTATTTCCTATTTGCACGGTTTGTCATTTACTGATAGAGAGCTGTTAGAGTGTCCAACTAAGAAGTGTGTTCATCTGTTTCATCTTGCAGTACTATCAGGCTTTGTGTCATGTATTTGGTTGTTCTGTAGTTAGGCATATACACATTCAAGTATGTTATGTCTTGTTGCAAAATCAACACCCTTATCATTACATAATGCCCTACTTTATCCCTGGTAATTTTCTTTGCTCTGAAATCAACTTTGGCTGAAATTAATATTGTTGTTACAGTTTCACTTTGATTGGTGTAGTATGGTATATCTTTCTTCATCTTTTTACTTTTAGTCTTATCAGTGACTTTATATCTAAGGTGGCAACATTTCTTGTAGGCAACATATAATTGGTGTTGCTTTTTAATTCACTGTGTCTGCCTTTTCATTGGTATATTTTGACCATTCACATTTAAAGTGATTATTGATATAGATTAATTTATATATTTCATATGTGTAACTCTCTGCTGCTCACTGCTGTTATTCTTGTGGATTATTTTTTGTCTTCTCTCTTTTTTCTGTCTTCTTTGGTTTTAAATGAGTACTGAATACATTTCTGTTTTCTACTAGCATATCAATGTTCTTTAGAAAGTATTTTAGTGATGATTTAGAGTTTGAATTACACATTTAAATTAATCAAAGTCATTCTTCAAATAACACTATACATACTACTTTACAGATTGCAGGTATCCTATCACAGAGTATCTCTAATTTCTCCCTCTTGTCCCTTATAACATTGTTTGCATTTTCTTCATTTACCTATTATTTATGTTCACCCAATATGTTGTCACTATTAGCATTTTGAACAATTATCTGTTAGAGCAATTAAAATAATAAAAATTATTATTTTTTTTATTTCTTCCCTAATGTTTGTTCTTTCTTTAAATAGATCTGAATTTCTGACCTGTAGAATTTTTCTTCTTTCTAAACAACTTCATTTAAAATTTCATAGAAGATGGTTTTACTGGCAATTGCCAGATGCATCTAATTTTGAAATTGTATTATATTAGTGAGTATTTATAATATATTCATTAATATGATACTACTATGTTAGATTATATTAATTAATACTTTTTTCCCATAAATTCACTCTTTGGCAAACCCTGATTTTAACTTAATGTTTCCTTGACTACTGAGGACACACACTAGGAATTATTACTTCACTGTAATAATTATGCAGAGTAAAGACTTAGACATTGTTAAGTATCAATCAGTTCCTTTTCAGAAACCTTTCTCATTTTCCCCTCTGAAGCCAGTGAATTCAATGAACCTGATGTTCATGTTGACTTCAAACAGAATTCCTCTGGACACACAGCAGGCTGAGAAACAGACACTGTTTAAGTAAGACCCAAAGTTATGTGGACTTAAATCTACCTTGCTTGGAAAGCTTGGAAAATAAACATATATTTAATATGAGGTTTCCTCAAGCGACTCCATGTTCAATCTTCAGTCTGTGGCCATTTGTAGCACACAGAAAAAAATTGAAGCTGTCATCAACTGTGCAAAATTTGAGTAAAAGTCAAATAGCTCTATTAAGCATTTCATATATAAACTTCACTTTATTTATTTTATAACATTATTTTACAAATATGTATTATAATTTTTGTGTCATGTATTGGAATTTTTAAGAATAACAGTTTTATTTTACACTTAATATCACAGGATTTCTCTGTGTTCTTTATTATTTAAGTTGTTAGCAAATACACAAAGTGTCTTTCAATGGTATAAGATTTCTAAATTGGTTTTGTTTCCATTTGGTTCCAAAGTCTAAGTTTGAAGTGCACTCGTGTCTTGTATTTATTAATAACACTACAAATACTGTGGTTCAACATATTCATAGCTTGAAAAAGAATAAGTTTTCCAATCCAAATGGTACTCCACATTTATTACTGTCTATTATATTATACAGCTTCATTTTTTCTCTGAACCATTAGGTAGATATATGACTAATATATATATATATATATATATATATATATATATATATATATATATATATATATATATATATATATATATATCATACCAACACATTTCATTTATTTTCTTTGCTGTACAATTATCCTTTATTTGAAAACAAAATAATTTATCCATTATACCTCAAATCAATACCATTTCCATCAATGATGTCCTCAGAAAATATCTGTCTAACACTAACTCTGTATTCCCACAATGATGACTCAAGGAAGCATCTGTATTCTTTAGATTGAACTCCTGAAATGTTTTTGTCCTTCCATTCATAGCCCCTTATTCATTTTTCATCAGGAACAGTGATCTTTGTAAACTGGAATACTACCAGGGTATTCCTCCACTTATAACACTGTGGTGGTGTCTTATCACAGAATATGGTCCATTCCTATGAGCTGTCTCCCCTCTGGTTGCTGGTCCTCCTTTGGACCTGTTCGCTGAGCAGTCTGTTTTGACCAGGCCAGTTTCACTCATGTTGCTCACTGCCCTTTTTTTCCTGGGAACTCAGTGCTAGGCACATGTGACTCCCTTGGTCTTTGAACTCACCTTTGTCATTTCCTTATCTGGCCTCCTCACTCCTCATCATCATGTCTGCAATTGTTTTCTTTTGTGGTTGTTCTTTTTTATTATTTCTCTCACATATTCTATCACTAGAATATGTAAGTCCTGCAAAAGCAGTATGCTTCACACTTGTGTCTCTCACACCTGAGACAGTATCCATTTTCTACTATGTTCTTCCAAATAATATGTCATAAAAATACTTGCCTAAGAATAGTGGTGGTGGGGTGGTTGCTTCTGAGATCCTTTAGTGTGAAAAGGAAATAAAATACTACTAGGAAAATTACAACATTAATCCCATTGCTTCTTCAGCCATCAACAAGAGATTCAGAGATTAAAAACAAGCTGGATGAAGGTCTGTGATACTTAAGTGTTGAAACTTTCCCTTTCTCAAATAGAGTTTACAGCATCATGCAGAACAAGACATAAAGCTAAAACAAAAATGAATCAGATAGAATAAAATAACAACAAAGCACTGTGTCACTCTGTCCTTGAGCAGGCAGGAATTCTTTCATTCTCTCCATCCTTTGGTTCATGTTGAATAATAGGGTGTCTTCCTTGGCACCGATTTTCTGTCACAGCCCATGTCTGAACATCAGTAGATATTGGCAAATGTTTCCTCACAGTATGTCCCAAATCCAACCAATTCTCAGTATCCCCTGGTCCAAAGCCCACCACCTCAAGCCTTAATTTTTGTGAAAGTCCCCCAGGCCTCCTTGCTTCCATTCTTGCTCCTTGTTAATCTACTCTTTTCCCCTTAATGACCCCAGTTGTTTACTTAGCACCTAAGTCATTGTCTCTTCTCTGTTTACTATACTCTTGGTCTTCGCCTCTCACTTGGAGCAAAAGCCAGACTGCTCACAACACCCACAGGCCCTGACGTGTCTGCATTCTTCCTCTTGCTGGCCCCTGTCTCAATGTTGCCCCATTCTGCCCAGGCTGCAGGTCACACTCCCAATGTGTCCACACTATCTCTTCCTGAAATACCCCACCCAACCCCATTCCATGTGTATTTTTCTTCATTTTCTTCATATATAAAAAATATTTACTATCAAACTTTCAATGTGAACATGTTCTAGAACCTGTATTAAAAAGTAGTGATAACCTTGTTTTAGATGTGCAAGTCTAGCTTAGAATTTAAGACAATGGATCCATGAGTCAGAATGCTTGGGCTGAAAAACCAGCCATGCCACTCTGAATTTCCTCCAAATGCCTCTGAATCTCAACTTCTTTCTTTGTAAAATTGACATAAATGCCCATGTCATTGGGTAACCATGGGGATTAAATAAGGTGCTGTGAAATGCTTACCTGGCTTATAGCAATACTGTTACTGAGCAAGCTGGGGCTCGGCCATCTGGTGCATTTACATATGACCCAACAATTAGTGTTGAAGGAAACAGGTTTTTATTCATATGATTCCAATGTCAATGGAGAGCCCTCCTCTTCCCCAAGACTCAGAGCCTCACTTGCTTCTCAAAAGACTACAAGCCAAAACCATGCCCAGAAGTTCCCCATATCCTTCTCTGTCTTTAAGCCAGTCATGTAAACAGATTTTCATTGCCCCTGGAATATGCTCTGCGGGTTTCAGAGTGGCTATCCTCTCTCAGCAGCTCTGTCCTTCAGGATGTGCAGTATACTATTCTCAGCCTCCATGTACTAGTTCAGGAAAACATGTGCCCTGTTACACTGGGTCACAGTGGAGTCCAGGGATGCATATATGCTAGGAGTGTGACTTCTCTGTACTTCCTTCAAAGAAGCAGAAGTCTGCAACTTAGCATTCTTGGGTACAGTTCAGCTCCAAGCATCTCTCATGAGTCTCGGAGACAAGGCAGGTTCCCTCAGCTCCATCAGCTCTGATGCCATCTTCTCCAGGCAGACCTCTATCTGCCTACCCTATGGCTCTCTCTCTGACTTTTAGACCTCCCAGCTGACCTCTTCTCCCACCCCATATCTCGTGGCTTTTTCTCCTCTCTTTTAGCCCACCATAATTTAAATGCTTGGCCTGGAACTTCCTGTGTGATCTCACGTCCAGGTTTCCTAGGGTATTGTTAGTATTTGCCTTTTTGCCAGTCCCCCATCCCCTGTATCTTTTACCTTCTTTTGACTGCCATCTTTAGTCAGGGAAAACATTCCCAATGACACATGAGCATCTGGGGTGAGCATCTGCCCCCTGCCTCTCTTATAGGCACAGGACGACCTCCTTCCACAGCACCCCCTCCACTTAGGTTCTCAGAGTCATGTGCACAATTTGCACTGTGCAGCAGCCTTTTTTCTTCAGGAAAGCATGGTTAATAACTTGACATGGTTATGCAATGTATCTTAAATGAAGTATTGCCCTACCATCCACTCTTCCCTTCCCCCAATCAAGGATTGTAGGGTTTACCTTCTGCATCCTGTCACAATGATGCTAATGCCATTATTGTTATTTTAGCATGATTTCTGCCTGACATTTGTAATGATGTGTATGCAGTTAAAATCACGTTAAAATATAATCTACATATAGAGTAGATATTTTTATAGAGTTATATTTTTAACCTGATTTTAACTACGTCCACATCATTACAAATGCCAGGCAGAAATCATGTTAAAATAACAATAATGGCATTAGCATCATTGTAACAAGATGAAGAGAACAGGCTGACAGTGACCAGAGGGGAGAGGGGAGGGGATTTCAGGGGAAAAGGGGAAGGGTTTACAGGAACAAGTATAAAGGACACATGGATAAAAACTAGGGTGGGTGAAAGTAGGAGGGAAGTGGGGAGGGCTGGGCAAAGGCTAGGATGGGAGTAAAGAACAGAAAACTGTAGTTGAACAACAATTAAAATTAAAATAATGAATTCTCAAAAAATATATAATCTACATACAGTTTTTCCACTTGAAAATATATCTTAACTTAAATGCCTTAAAAAGGCAAAACTGATTTTGATTTCATATTGTGGCATACAGTAGAAACACGATAATTTAGCACTTATTCCATTATTATAAATCAGTTACCTCCAGTTTTTCTTTATTATCCATTGCAATACATATTCACTTGAATATTACACACACCTTCATGTATTATGATAGGTCTTTAGTAAGAATTCATGGATTCATGGATGTAAGGTTATCAGCTGAAGGACTCTGAAATTTATTAATGCTTTTCATGGAAATTGCCCATTGCTTTTCATAAAAATGATATGAACTTATACTACCACAATATAAGATATATATGTATATTTATTTCATTCATATTCTATTTAGAAAAAAAATGTAAAAACACCTGAGGAATAAGAAATACCTAATTAGTGCCAAATGAATTGAGAGCATGAAGATAAACTAATTAAATAAATAACATTTAAGTTACTTCTTTAAATTTATGTAATAGCTAGATTTTTATATTAGAAAAGCTTTTCACTCACAGTGCTTATTTTAACAAAACTTAAGTATATAATAAGAAAATAATAGAACTCAGAAACTGCAATTAATTTTTTTTCTTTAAGAACTCAGAAATAGCCCTGGCTGGAGTAGCTCAGTGGATTGAGCGTGGGCTGCAAACCAAAGCATTGCAGGTTTGATTCTCAATCAGGGCACATGCCTGGGTTGTAGCCCACGGCCCCCAGCAACTGCAAATTGGTGTTTCTTTCTCTTTCTTTCTCCCTCCCTTCCCTCTCTAAAAATAAATAAATAAAATCTTTTTTAAAAAGTTTAAAAAAACTCAGAAATAACTGTTTGAGGAATTATCATAGATACACAAGACATTGTTTTGAAGTTATTTGTGGGCACAAAATTCTGTGTCTTTAAAAGTAACTACAACCAGAAAGAAATGGAGTTTTTTGCTTTTTTGTTTTTTGTTTTTAATTTCAGCTCCAAACTGCTGCACCTGTCTGATCATTAAGCAAAGTCATCTCCCTGTGGTTGTTCAGGAGGCAAAGTATCTGCTGGATCCAATGACCCACTGTTCCTCATTGTCAGGGACCTTTTCATGTATAGTCTTTACCAAAGAATACAATGCTGTTGAAAATTACATGACTCCAATGTAGTGAAATTTAGCTATAATAATTTAATTTGTTTCTTTCCTATTTAATATTTTACTCACTGAATAGATCAAAATCTTTAATAAGTCAGATTATATGTGATGAACCCATGACAATTATTCTTTTCTCTAAATTTCAGTATAAAGAACGTAACTCCAAAAGTAGGGGAGCCTGAAACCCGTAAAGCAATTCGCCGTGCCTTTGATGTGTGGCAGAATGTGACTCCTCTGACATTCGAAGAAGTGCCCTACAGTGAATTAGAAAATGGCAAACGAGATGTGGATATAACCATCATTTTTGCTTCTGGTTTCCATGGAGACAGCTCACCTTTTGATGGAGAGGGAGGGTTTTTGGCACATGCTTACTTCCCAGGACCAGGAATTGGGGGAGACACTCATTTTGACTCTGATGAGCCATGGACACTAGGAAATCCAAATCACGATGGTAAGTGCATCACTCTCCTCATAGTAAATAGTTCTCTTTTTTTATTTCATTTTTGGAATATCCAATTAATTCACAAACTTAAGGTATCAATTCTAAATTTGTTTTTAAAATTATGAAACAATGTATGAGCTTTTAATAAACTTTTAGAATAAAAATTGGTATGGGTCATTAGATAATGATGGTTTTCATGTGATCCTTTGATTAAAAACGAGAAGTTTTACCTTTTGTACAATGTCACTTAAAATATATATTTTATCATGACCTGAGGACATGTTTTCATTGCTTTTTGAGAGAGTGGAAGGGAGAAAAGGGAGAGAAACATTGATTGATTGCCTGTTGTATACACCTGGATCGAGGATTGAAACTGCAACCCAGGCATGACTGCTGCCTGGGAAATAAACTGACAACCCTTTGACTATGGGACAATACTCCAACTGAGCCACATGGGTCAGGGAACACTTAAAAGATTTAATAGAATTTAAGTCATTGGGTATTCATTAAGCAAATTTTGTTTTTTTTCTTTACACTTTGTTCCAGTGTTTTCACTTGAAACTTAACCCTGATTAACATTTATGATGTGGCTCCTACTGTATCTTTTCTGTTATTTTTTGCTTCTATTAATACCTTTCTACTTTGTAAAATTTTGTCCCTTTTCTTTTGTCTCATCCATTACCTTGGTCTCCCAATCTAGTGCAACTACAAAATTTATTATTTTGTATTATATTCTTCTTTATTTTTATCAAAACCACTTTCTTGCCAATCGGTGTTGACACTTCTATTAGTTTTATAATCTTATAATTATTTTCACATGCAAAAATAATGTAAAAATAAAAAACTCAATAACTAAAATAATAGTTATTTGAAATAAGAAACATGTGTTTCTTCCTAGACAACAAACCATACTTCAATTTTATGTTTAATAAAACATTCAGAGAATTGTTAAGATTCCAGAATTATAAGGCTCCAAATCAACCATCTCCCCAGTTCTTACATTCAAGATAAATACTTTTTTCTTACCATATAGTAGAATGTTATTGAAAATACAAGTGTGCATTGTGTAAAAGACAATTAATCAGCTAATAACACTCTTAATTTCTCCTTGCTGCATTAAACCTAGCCATCAAATTAAGGTTTGTTAATTTGTTAGATAGCTTAGTTAGTTGGATTAATGTTAATAGCCATGTGTTTTTAGAACTTGCAGTATTCAAACATTGAATAGAATGAATAAGGTTGAATTAAACTTAAAATAACATCAAATTTTGAAGAAAATACAATAAGTATGTTTTACAAAAATATCTAGTATTAAACAAAATGATGTTTTGAATTGTCAATAAGTGTATTGGTTATAATATTAAGTTATGGTATCATTTTTAAGAACTAGTTTGGAGACTAATGAAAAATGTGTTGAGAGATTTCACTGCTGTGGAATGAAAAACAAAATCTTCGGTGTCAGACAGCCCTGTATTTGATCCCTCCTTAACCGACCGCTGGCTCAGGAAGGCTCTCCCAAGCTGTGCATTGGTTTTCTCTCTTTGTCTTGTGTTGCAGGGCTGGAACTTTGTGAGTAGAAGCCTTTCCTCTTCAGGCCTGTGTAACCTGCTCTACTGAGCAGCTAATACTGAAATGTCCACAACAAGGGAGATGGACCATACTGGTTTGATGCATACATCAATTAAACTAAAATAGGTTTACTTTATTTTTATCAAAACCCCACAGATATTTTAATGAATTAGTTCAGATGCCTTCAATTATTAAATTTATTTCAAAGAATGGAAGGAATGTTTGCATTTTAAATGACATAGAAAAATGGCACTTATATTTGAATTTTGCTGAGACAGTCAAAATTGCATGTGCCTCCAAGGGAAGGACTTTCTTTTAAAATTCTGAACAGTGAATACTGTTTCCTTCCAATAATGAATCAGCTATTTTATATTTGTAGCTTTGAAGTTGTATTAATTTGGGTTCGTGACCTCATAAATGTAAAATTATTTTTAAAATCATCTATAAAGGCGATGAAGCCTACCAAAGGACTCTATTTTCTCTTAAAATATTAAAATGATCCAGAAAGCTGCAGAAATCCTTTAAATGTATGATTTCTCAGTGGTTTTCTTAGGCATTAGCCAGTATTTTTTTTTAAATAAGAAGCTCTAAGAAAAAATCTATAAGGGCATGTGAGATGATTTAGGAAATGAGAATACACTGATTTGGGTGGGATCAGTGTTATGAGTGCATATGTGTTTTGTATGATGTAAGGAATTTCCCAAGGAATATACATGTAAAAAGGATTCTGAAACACATAACTGATGGTGTCCAGTGAAGCCAGTGGACTATTGGCTCAAATTTTATATTAATATATTTCATTGCCTCTTAACTTTTACTGTACAAGTATAATAATTTTTGTAAATAGGCCCATTACTAAAAACCTGAACAAAACAGTTATTTAATATTTAGTGTTTAATTTGGAAGAAAATATTTTTTACTGGTCAAGTAGATATATATTTTTTCCTTTTGAGTGAGTTTAAGGAAATGACTTCAAAATAATAGTGTTTTCACATTTGCACGGAATTAGAGAGAAGTTAACTGACTGTTCAAGATGTAATACTATAAAAATTGACTGCTTAATTGAAATTCCAACCTTTGGCAACAGCCCAAACAAGAGGGTAGTATCCTGGAGAATATTCATCATTGATCAGAAGAACAACTTCTGGCTTTTCTTGGGTGCTGGTGAATGTGGAAAGAATTAATGTGTCCATCCACCATAGATCCTAACTATAAGATTGTCTTTGTATCACAAATACATAAAGCACAATTCTGAAATCTTCATGGATAAACTCTTTTAAAAAGAATTTATTTATTTATTTTTGGAGAAAAAGGAAGTAAGGGAGAAAGAGAGTAAGAGAAACATCAGTGAGTGTTTGCTTCATGTGCATCCTCTACCAGGGACCTGGCCCAAAATCCAAGCATGTGCCCTGGCTGAGAATCATACTGGCAACCATTTAGTTCACAGGCCAGCACTCAGTGCACTGAGCCACACCAGCCATGGCTGATAAATATTTTTTTAAAATCTAGTCCTTGCATAACGTCTATTTTACTTACCTGAAACATTTTCTTTCTCTCCAGTTCATTGCTCTTAAGCACCTAGAAAAGAGAGCAGCCTGATAATTTAGCAAAAAAATGAAATGAAAGAGCCTCTTGATAAGTACCCCCAGGTCATTCTCCATAGCATATTGCTCAGCTAATGAAGGCAATTTGTATTCCATCTACCTCAAAGGAGATAAACAGTGTCATAGGCCGCCAATAATTCTTAATTCCTTATTATACACCTTATCATCAATTTACTTGTAGTCATGATATCTTTTGAAAATTCAACCTAAAGCCTATTAAGTAAATTACACAATAGTTTCATTTAAATAAATAAACACATGCACATACACACCTCCACTAAAAGTGCCTTTTTTAAAGAGATTTTTTTCTTTTTTAACTTTTTTATGGAGTGGGTAAGTACAATATACATAGTATTCTCAGTAGAAAATGTTACTGTGATACGGTTTTTGAAAAGTATACATTGCCTGAACGTGAATTGGAAAAGTTAACTTTAGCAAAATATTAAGATTCTGAGTGTCATTATCATTGTTTCATTGGCAACCATATAAAGTTTAAATCGCACTATCAATGTAAACACAAACTTGTCACAAGAACTTTATAATTAGACAAGCATCTGTTATAGTTCTGGGATTTGAAATGGATAATCTCTTAGCAAAAATGTTACCTATGTAAATGATATATATAACTGTAACAAAAATATCCAGAAGGGAAAAGATAGCAGCAAGATAGGTGGGAGCAGAGTCCACTTCCCCCTGCATACAGGTAGAACACCTAGCCCATCTTCTGAGGAACAGAGTGAACAGCCAATGGTATCCCAGCATAGACGAAGGTTGGAGGCCAAAACTGTAGAGGACATTGAAAAATCAGATGGTAAGGAGATTACTTTTGGTTGGTAAAGTCCCTTGGACTAGTGTGGGGATCTAGGTGGCTGCAGCCCCAGGCCCAGTGCCTGCTGGGCCAGATTCAGGATTCTTGGAAGATAGCCAGGTCAATGATTCCTTCCCCTGCCAAACGGAGGTTTGAACAGCACCAGGAAGGACCTGGATGCTTGAAGTTGCTAATGGGATTAAGATGGAGTGGCAAACCCGTAGTAGCGGCATGCACCTGCTGAGACTGTGGATGCCAGCTGGGTCATTACCAGAGACATTGGGAAGCTGGGGGATGCTGGGAGAAGGGAGAAGAGTTGAGCCATGACAGACCCTGACCCAGATAGTCTCCAGTCTGGTTGCAAAGCCGGGCTGTGTGAGAGGCCAGGTGCTTGTTTGGAGCAGCAGGCTTGAACAGGAGCAATTAAAAAAAAAAAAAAGGTCTCAGGGCTGTTTAGGGAATTGCACCAGAATTCTCCTGCAGCGGTCACCCATGCCCCCTGCACTCCCTGTAGCCTCGGCCAAAGGCCTGCTCCTGCCACCAGGACCAAGGCCAAGCTCCCACTATCCCCAGCAGAGGAGGCCATGCACTTCTGCCCACAGCCTTGGGGGCAGTGTGCACCTGATCCAACCGCCACCAAGGCTACAGCACCCAACCCCACCTCTGCCCTACAGGCAAGAGCACTCCTCCTCCACTGAGGCCAAGGTGGCAAACCCACCCTGTGGGAAAGACTGGCTTGCTAAGAGGAAGGCAGAAAAGTTCCTCACAGAGGAGAGTAGCAGGGCTCAAGGAGTCAGCAGTCCCCAGAAAGATTTAACTCAGGGAGAAAGCTAAACTACCCTGAAGAGACTTTGAGAGCCCCTAGCACCTAGGACAGCAAAGAGTGATAAGGTGGTGTGTAACTTGCCCCTATTTGGCACACCTCAAGGACAGCACAACTGGTGGACTAAAGGCATAGGCTGGGTACAGAAGGGCACTGGGGGCCTGTAGCTAACTGAGAAACTGGGCTGAAGGATGGGCAATTGTGA